AAGAGTTTTGAGGATTTGAATAAGCTCAATTATTTTCTCAACTAATGAGGACGATTGCATGTGTGCGAAGGCTAATCACTTAAAATTTGTCTAACATACATTAACTTAGCATAATTTATATGTGCATTAAAAAAACATTACAAGTAAAACATGGATATGATAATGAAAAACATTTCTCAAACTTATTCATTTAAAGGAAAAATATGGTTCAACAAAGTAATACAAAATCACAACCTACGTATCCTTAGAGAACTAACATGTTTAACAAATATATTTATATGTGGTTAAATGGATCAACTAACATCTCACATATAGAAATATACTTCACACTACCCTTCATTTGTACTACAATGTCCCCGATAAAGTTATATTTATTATCTATGTATTTGATCCTAGAATGATATTTAGGATCCTTTATGAAGATAATTGTTTCTTGACTATCACTATGAATGATGAAAGGTCCATTAGCTTCGTGTAGGAACCCCATATCATCCATAAAATGCCTCAACCAAAAAACTTGTTGTACTCGTAGCCGATAATGCACCGAACTCAACTTTTATGGTAGAAAACACTACACATGTTTGTTTCTTACTCGCATTAAAAGATAGCACTATTACCAAGCAAGAAGACATAGCTCGAGGTCAATTTTCTCTCATCTAAATCATCTCTCCAATCAACATCCGCATAACCATAAAGTTGTACATCCTTTTCCCAATAGCATAAAGAATAATCCATTACGCCTTTTAAATATCTCAAGATTATCTTGACTTTATTCCAATAAGCCTAGCCTAGGTTTGGTTAATAACTACTTATCATCCCAACAACATAGCAAATATTAGGTTTAGTACATGACATAGTGTACATCAAACTCCTAACTACCCCGGCATAAGGAACCTTTTTCCATTTGTTCTTTTTCTTTTGGAGTCTTAGGGCATGCTTTTAAACTTGAAGCATCCTATTTTGTTATATGCGTGTGTATAAGATTAAAATTCTATTTATTAAATCGTTCAAAACTTTATTAATGTATTGTTCTTTTGAAAGAGCCAATAATCTCTTAGAACAATCCCTCTTAATTTTAACACCATGAATATATACAACTTCTTCCATGCCCTTCATTTCAAAATTAAATGATAATTATTCTTTAAAAACTTAATATCATTACTAGTTAATAGGATGTTATCTACGTAAAATGATACAATAAAAATCTGTATTTATAATTTTTAACATAAATACAACGATACTTATCCATTTGAACAAAGTCATATGAGACACTTATTCTATGAAACCTTAAGTATCACTATTTAGATGACTCGCTTAAGACTATATATTAATCTCATAAGCCTACAACCACTATGTTATTGTCCTTTTTCGACAAACCTTATAGGTTGTTCTATGTAAATTTCTTCCTCAAGTTCTCTATTAAGGAAAGCATTCTTTACATCTATTTGATGTAATTCCAAATCTAAGATTGCCACAATAACCAAAATGAGGCGAAAGGAGGCAAATCTCACAACAGGTGAGAAAATCTTCTCATAGTCAATACCTTTGTATTGTGTATACGCCTTTAGCCACAAGTTGAGCTTTGTACCATTCAATGGAACTATCAACCTTGTGCTTGATTTTGAGAACCCACTTATTCCCAATGGCCATTCATCTCATAGAGAGGTTAACCAATTCCTAAACATTTTTTGATCTTATGGACTCCATTTCTTCTTTCATTGCATTAAGTTAGTGTTCTTTTTTAGGAGATAACAAGACTTCATTAAAATTGCTAGGTTCATCGTCTTGTAGTGGGGTAACTAAAAAACTTCTCCCTTTAATGTCATCAAAATGACATTGGGGAATGTTTTCATGAGTACTTCTCCTTAAATGAGAATCTTGAAAAACAAACTCATTGTGTCTCGAATTGCTCCCACTCGGATCAGATGGCCTTAGCACAACTAAAGGTATGCTATCCAATGATGGGATTAGGTCATCATAATATGCCATCTCAAAGAGAGATAATTCCACATTTGTTTCTTTTTTTACTAGGAAACTAGCCCTTAAGAAATATAACATTCCTACATTTAAATTCAATATACCCTTCATCTTTGTGTTATCTAATGAACACATAACCTTTTAAATGGTTTGAGTAACAAATGAAAGTATATTTCTTGTCCCTCGGGCCTAATTTACCATGCTGATGAGATGTGTTATGCATGTAAGCCGAACATCCCTATGGTTTCATATTACTCAAATTGTGCTTTCGGCCTTTCCATATCTTATATGGAGTGGAGAAAACTGATTTGGTGATCACATAATTCAAAATATAAACAACGATTACAAGAGCATCACTCTAAAAAAAAAAATCATAAGAAAATTCATTTGGGCTATCATAGATAATTACCTTGCTACCCCTTTTTCATCACATAAATGTTTAAGTAGATCAGATAAGTATTCATGCCCACCGTTAAGTCTTAAAACCTTGACCCTTTGGTCTAATTGATTCTCAACAAGATTCAAAAACCTTACAAAACAATCTAACACATCAAATTTATGAGCTATTAAATGCACATGACCAAAATGCTTGTGATCATGAATAAAGGTGATGAAATATCAAATGCTTCGGAGCTAGGCTAGTTCAAAATTTTCTTTGTAAATGTCTTTGAAAAGGTTTTAAATGTGACAATGAAATGTATTAAAATTTTTATAGATAACAACTACCATTAAATGGTTTGTGATCAAAGATCGAGTATCCATAACTAGCTATCTAAAATATTATCATATAACTATGAAGTTGATCGTTATTAAGTTCATTCTAAAAACATAATTTTGGTACATTAAAGGCTTTTCCTAGCTAGGACACAAACAAGCATACATTTTCATGTGTTAGAGTTGGTTACTTACAAATTCATTAATAAAGCTAGGTTCACTTCTAGTTGTATGGATGGATTGCTTGGTGTTGTTTAGTCCGTCTCCATCCTTCGTAATGGTCCATATATATCTTGTCAAAAAAATTATCAATTTATAAGTTTCGTAACATAATCTAGAGTTCTATTCAGCGAAAAGTCTTCGTCAATTTTGGAAACAAGTTTAAATATATTTTGTTAGTGGTCATATTTATCTCTTGACATATATAAATAGCCTCTAGTAGTCGACCATTAAGATACCTTCTATTTTAGAGAGAAGTTAATTTATTCTTTTGCATTTTTCTTAAAGATGCAAAGCTAAGCCTTTCTTTTTTGGTTCAAGAGTAACATGACTTTGAAGAACAAGTCGTAAGATTCTTTTCATTTAATTTCATAATCTATTCATCTTTATTATCTCTTATTCTTTTAAATGAATCAAATTGTAATCATATTTAAAATTACTTAGGAGCACTACTAGATAATTGTGATCAATAAATAACTATTAGATTAGGGTTTATAATACATAATCATTATCAAACCTATTTATTAGTAACAATAGAATTAAGTGATTTCGATACCGATATCATTAGAATTCTAGGAGAAAAGAGTACATGTTATACCAACTAGCTTCGTGTTGATTATCCGTTTTGGTTGTTCTTTAAATCATTATTGTTGTTATAGAATTATATATAGAGATCTTGTCCTATATGGCTCGTAATTAGGATTCAAATTACATGATTCATGTATTTGATGATTAAGAAGAACGAGTTAACCTATACTTTATAGTTAATATAGACCAAATAGCAAATCATGAATGGAGTCTTTAAATATCTTTAATGATCGACTTGCAATTTGAAGGTAAAATTTACTCTTCGAATGCTTTGTAATTGATTAATTCCTTAAAATTTTGCTACCGTGTTCTTAATTATTGTGAGCAGATTCAATTGAAAAACCATATTTTCTTTTATTTAATTGTCTAAATTAAGCATAAATAGAAATAGAATAACAATCAAATTAGTCTATATGGGATCGATTTAGACTTGTCGCTAGCTATATTAGTGGGGCTTAATTAATTAATTTTGTGTCGGGACTTAACTAGATTCGATGCTAAATTGATACGGCTCCTAGTTTGGGGATTTGACATCAATTTAATATGATTTCAGTATTAAATAAAAAAAATCTTGTTTTTCATAATGACCACTATAGGAAAATACGAAGATTATTAATCCTTAGATTAGTTTCAAATTTATGATAACTCGCTCTATCAATAAGCTTGAAAATAGACTTAGAAATATTCGGCAAATGGTACATTTACGATATGTTTTTTAAGATTAGAATAAATTTCGTAACTTTTCTTCTAAAAGGATACCTCTAGGTGATTAGAATAAAATTTTAATTCTTATCTTTAATCATTGAAAGTTCCATATGTTGGGTAGTAATATATATATATATATATATATATATATATATATATATATATATATATATATATGAGAGAGAGAGAGAGAGAGAGAGAGAGAGAGAGAGAGAGAGAGAGAGATTAACATTTTGGGTTAAATAGTTTTTTAACATGGTATCAAAACTCGAGTTTAAAATTAGAGCTATATATACACTAATAACTTAAACTTTTAGATTGAAATAATTTTTTAGCATGTTATAAGAGATTTACTAACCAAGCGATCATGAGTTCAAATCATACCAACCTTACTTTTTTTTCATTAAAATTAAATAATTAAGCACAATTTGGTGCAAATTTTAAATCCAAAGTGATTCCACTTGAGAAAATACACTAGAAAATGTTATAAATCATATTATGAAATCTCATATAATAATTTAAATTTTTAGATTGAAATAAATACATATCTTATAGCAAATACTATTTTTTATATATATAATTTCCTCTTTGAATTTCTTTTCTATATCAAAATATATTAGTAAGAAGAAGAATAAATTAAAACTCATGCAACTTCTTCTCGACACATTGGTGCAACTTGTTCTCTAACAAATTGCTATTGCCTGCAATATCAACAGAGCTAATTTCTTCCTTCCATCAAATTAACACTCACACCTAGAGATCAAAATATCCCATCTCTATGTATAAAAAATTAAAACTCATGCAACTTCTTCTCGACATATTGGTGCAACTTGTTCTCTAACAAACTGCGATTGCCTGCAGTATCACCTGGGTTTAATTTCTTCCTTGCATCAAACACTAACACCTAGAAACCAAAATTACCCATATCTATATATAAAAATAAGAGTAAATTAATTTGAGGAAGAACCCATTTGTTTTCTTCCTAGAGAACAAAGGCATTTAATTCACAGGGACCAGGATATTAGACATTAGATATTTGAATTGATCAATAAGTTGTTGTGGGGACTGGCCAGAGACTGCAATATGGTTAGGTTATTAAATGGAAGTTTTGATAATCTTTTTTTTTTTTTTTTTTAATCTTTAAGTTGCAGCCCACGTGGACGTTGCAACTGTAGTCATGAATGGAAGTTTCGCCAACGCATCAAATGAACATAATTTCGCAAAGGACTCGATGAGATTTGTGGAATATAAAGTGTTTGTGATGTTAAAATGATTATCGAGGAGAGAAAGAGAGAGTATGCCATTCTTTGGTTGGGTCACTTGTATGGAGAGGTGCCATAACTCTTTAATATCGTTGTCACTTAGCCTCGTTATTCCAAATATATAGTCTTTCTTGATTTGATTGCAGAGATAAATGGAGGAAGTGGGAGCATATATAGCCCTCATGCCTTGAATGATCATGTCCAAGTCCGACCTTCTATAATGAAACCAGAGGGTGTGATATATCACTGTCAACTTCTTGTCTGTTGTATAACAAATTGGTCCATGCATGGGTCATACAAGTCGCACAGCTAGGCATTGAAAGACATGTCATGAAGGGTTTAGAAAATGGTGTGATCCTTGTAAAAGATCACCTATATGCTTCTTTCTAGAATTAAATTATTAATAGTGCCCAACCTTTTAGGGTTCACCCTGTACCCATCAAATCATATCCCAACCACCATCACCAGGGCATATCAGCCTAGTATCTTTTAACCAAAATTGCAGAGGTTAATTCTTAATTTTTATAGTGTGGTTGCTTATTTTTGTCCACAAGTTATGCGTGGAAAACTCATCTACTTCTGTAAATTAAGCAAATAGAACGCCACATACCAGCACATTCTTCTGCGTTGTTATTGTCACTGTCAATTCATCACAAAATCTATAATATTACAAATAATTAACATGAATATTATTAGAGCTATTTTGCCCAAATTTACTTAACTTTTTTTAGTTGTCAATCTAATTAAAATTTACTCGTTCTGTCCCACATAGTAAAGTCTCTTTCTTTCTTTATTTAAATGTTTTTTTTAATGTCTAAAAAATGTTTATATATCTTTTATCAAAAAGTCAAAAAAATTGAACACCAAATTTTACTACTTCTTTCTTCTTTAAAAATATATATATATATATATATATTATTCAACTACTTTTAATTTTCAAGGATAATGTAGTAAATACAATAAAAATACATGAAATGATATAGTATTTAATGTTTTTTTTTAATCTATGTTGAAAATTCAATAAGATTCTTTTTATTTGACAGAGAGAAGAGTATTATTTTTCTAAAGTAAGTGAGAAAAAGAAAATCAGTTTTTCATAAAAATTAAAGCTACTAAAATTTTAAGGATTGTTAGGTGTCTTGCTTTGTTTTTTTCTGCCAGACTTTCCTTAATTGGTTCATGTGCTCTCTCTCCTTGCTATTTATTTTCCTGCTAGCTTGTTGCTTTAATCAATCATTTTTAAGTTATGGAAGAAACAAAGAAAGGTGTGAGATAGGATACAAGGAATATTGAATTCAAATGTAGATAGAACTCTAAGATTATTCAGTTGTGATACTTTGTAGTATATTTTTTTGAACTTCTCCGGACATGATACTTATTCGGAAGCTATTTTTGGCTGCTTTAATTTTGAGTGCTGGACCATGATCATCTCGCTGCTTAGCCTCAAGGTTTGTTTTTGTTGAATTTGCTGGTCTAGCCATCTCTCCTCTATGGTTTGGAATTTTATTTATTTATTATCTCATGATTATAATTAATAAAGCATCGATCTCATTCATTAAAAATTAAAAAAAAAATCCCAAGCATATCTGTTTACTGTATATATTGCAGCTGATGAATACAAAAATTAATATTTTAAGTCAACCTGCTTTTCTATAAAAGTAAATTTGATATAAATTGTCGTACTGTTCAAGTTTTGATCAGAAGTTCCAATGATAGAAATTTTAGACCTAAATAATAATAATAATAATAATAAAAAAAAGAAAAAAGAAAAAGAAAGCAGCTGATTATACTTGTCATGCACTTTGATTGAATATTGGTACTCTTTATTACTGTTGTTTTAACTTTTTAACAGACACTTTCCCATTTTTTTATGAATTAATCTGTGTTATTTGCCACATTATATGTTGGATCGTATACTCAAATCAGGTTGTAATTATATATATATAAACCCTGTCAGTTGGGACTTGATAGTGGGATTTCTTTATTTGGTATGATCTGAAATATCAAGTTGCCGAGCGAGACAATGCATTGCCCGATTAGACACCCGATTGAAAAACATGTACCATACATATTAAAATAAAACTAATAATTTTCCTGAAATTCATAATTACCTACTTTATTAAAGATTATCTCCTTCAACATTCTCCAAAAAGAATAAAACAAAAATGATGGATCTCTTTCAAAAGCTTCTTTATCCGATTTTTATAATCATAAGATTATTTATAGTAAAATCACATGCTCGGCAGCAAGAATCTTGCTAGCTCCCACACGAATAAAATTATGGTTTGAGGCTTGAAGTTAAAAGAGAAATGAAATTTTTAAGTGCTTACTTGCTTGGTGTTTTAGTCGAGAGTGGGCCAATACTACAGCTCACTAATTGCATGATGTAATTGGTAATAAAATAGAAGATTTTGGTCGGAGAGAAGAATGATTAGGTGATTGATTTGACACATTTAATAAAGCTAATGACAATTACGAGTTTAGCATGATCTATATTACGTACGTGGCTCGTGAAGAATTACTGATATAAACATGTAATTGACGTTGTTGTCTGCATTATGGAAACCTGTTCACAATTTTCACAACATGTCCTACAATTCAGCTTCAATTTGGGGTGTGAGGTTTCAGGTTTCGGTTTTTAATTATATTTTCAGATTTTCGAAAATAAAAATAGAAAACTTGTTTATTTAATTAAAAACCATTTTATTTGTCTTTAATAATTTTCACAACCCTTTGTCAACTAGTTTTCTATGGTTAAAATAAATAAATAAATAAAAGGTTTTCTGTTTTTGTTTTTAAATTTTTGAAAAATTAAATTAAAATCTGATGATAGAAATTATATCAAATCAACCTTTAATTTGCTTAATTTTATTTTTTGTTCGTGAACAATATTCCTCTCTCTCTCTCTCTCAAAAAGAGTATTTCTTTATTTATTTAAATGTCTCTAAATGTATGTTTCTTATTAAAAAATTGAGTATTAAATTTCCTCCTTTAATAATTGAATTTGTGACCGCATGCATATATATATATATGTGTGTGTGTGTGTGTTAAACTATAGTTAATTTTAAAAGATATTGTAGTAAATAGAATAAAAAGAGTATGAGTTGACATAGTATTTAATATATTTTTTAATCTGTCAAAAGTCAATATATATATATATATATATATATATATATATATATGTTAAACTATATTTAATTTTAAAAGATATTGTAGTAAATAGAATAAAAAGAGTTTGAGTTGACATAGTATTTAATATATTTTTTAATGTGTCAAAAGTCTAATAGATTTTTTTTTTTTTTGGGACGAAAGGAAGAGTATGTATCGCTTGTCAACCGGTTTTCATATGTATATATAAATTTATAATCGTAATTCCAAGGTATAAGCTTGATAGTTAAGAAGGTTTGTTACTTTATTATTATTATTATTATTTCTTGAGTTCGAATATTTGGGCTAATGTGTAGAAGATTTTATTTGTCTTAATGCATCATGTGGATGTGAAAATACATCATTAAAATCATTTGAAGAGAAAATTTAATCTTAATTAATATATAAATTGGTATGAGAATATACAATTAGATAGTCGAGTTTGAATTTTATCTTAATAAACTTAATTGTCATGACAAGTAGTCCATAATCATTCTCTTATCACGGAGAGTTAACAATAAAATGACCAAACAATTATGGTTAGTCGGTTTCAATCACGAGATCGAAAGAAAAGTGATGAGATCTATTCTAAAGATTACACTAAAGATTAATTCTAATGACTAATGCTATAATAATTGAAAAAGGTAATTTTTATTGATTTATTTGATTGATCTAGATGTCTTCTTACAAAAAAGTTATTACATATTTATACCGAGTTTAAAAATAAGTGTCCTAAGACATATAAAAAGAAAATAACTATTTTGGACAATTAACTAATTGTTTTAGAAGAAAGAGAGAAGAGTTGCGGATAAACAATGAAGAGGAAAAAGATGAAATTTTATTCTCATTTTTTATTACAGAAAATGCACCTCATCCAGATATATATAGTAACCTTTTAACTAACTAAACTAATTGATTTAATTATCTAACCAACATAACTAAGTTAGTTGAGCTAACTAACTAACTAATTAACTTTACATTGAGTTAAGTTTACTAATCGTTACTTATTTAGATTAGTTGGACTTCTTCTTTTCACATTCCCCCTCAAAATGGACAACAACAATATATTGGTGATGTTCATCCGGCTTAAGAGAAGCTAGAATTGCCTCGGATGCGGACTTTATATGAGAATGTCCGCAATCGATGCTTGTGTCAAAATGTACTCTAGTTTGATGATCGCTACCAAGGCTTTCTCTATCACAAAATGACATTCAATCTTTATGTGTTTTGTTCTTTCATGAAACACTGGATTTTTTCATATATGTAAAGCTAACATATTATAACAATACAAAGTTGTAAGTTGAATGCTTGAATATCCAAAATTTGACAACAATAATAAGCAACCAAACAATTTCATAAGTTGTGGAAGCCATTAATCTACACGCTACTTCGTTGAACTTCTAGCCACTAATGACTATTTCTTTAATTTCCATCTAACCAATAAATTGTTCAAGACTGATTTTCTTGTATCTAGATAGTCTACCTAGTCACTATCTCGGTGAGCCTTTAAATGTATCTCTAAATCTACAGGAAACAACAACCTTAACTCTGGAGCATTTTTCAAATATCTCAACACTCTATTAGTAACTTACATATGTTTTCCTATAAGTTTATTAACAAAATGAGATTAAACATGTGTTGCATAGAGCTATATCAAGTTTAGTAAAAGTAAGATATAACAATTTTTCAACCACTTTTCTATATGTAGTAGAGTATAACAATTATGTATTTCCCATTTGGATAGTTTATGATTTTGATCCATAGGTGTAGAAACTAGTTTTGATCCACAAGGCTAAATGTTTCTTGGAACTTAAAACCTTATCTTTGACTATACCCTTTGGCTACTTACCTAGCCTTATACCTTTCAACATGTCCATCAAACTTTAACTTCACCTTATACACCTATTTGCAGCCAATGGAATGTTGTCCATTAGGTAAAGATACTACCTCTCATGTATGATTCTCGTCTAAAGCATCAATTTCAGATTGCATGGCCTCTCTCCCATGAGTAAATTTCATAGCTTGATAATAAGTTTGAGGTTCGCAGATGGAAGATAAAGAATTATTGAATGTCTTATGAGATATGGATAAGTGAACATTAGAAACATTATCATGTAAACGATATGGAGTTTGACATGCGGAAGACACCAAATGACCAAGATTATGTTCATAATCATTAAGATAAGTTGGTGATATGGAAGTTTCTCAATGGTTGAATAGAATGAGCAATATTTATTACGGTAGGATTATGAGTGGATGTTATTATAGGTATAGTTGTAACATAAGAAGGAGAAGTAGTACTTGGATTGATTATCAATATGATCAACATTGTCATTAAACTTAACATAATTATTATCAAAATGAATAGAAGAAGGATTATAATTTTGGCTATGTAGAGAGGATGATATAAAAGAAACAACACAATTAGAATGATCAAAGACATTATGCATAAGAACTATTTTAGAAAAAATAAAAAAAGGAAACGAATTTTGATTGAGTATTATTAGGAGGATTATGATTGAAAGATTGTATAGAGTAGGGAAAAAATATTCATGAAATACAACATCTTTAGAAACAAAGGTAGCATGATTTTGAAGATCATAAAGTTTGTATTCTTTGATTCCAATAGGATAGCCAATTAAGATGCATTGTCTAGCTCATGAATCAAATATCTTTCTCGTTATAATAGAGTGAAAAAAAAAAAAAGAAGATCCAAACACTCGAAATGATTATAAGCTAGAGATTTATGAAAAAAAAAACTCATGTGGTGAAATATTTTATAGAATGGAACTAAGGAGTCTATTAATTATATATGTGGCATTCAAAATAGCATTTCTCTAAAATTTGATAAGGAGTGATGCTTAGAAAAGAAGAGACTTAGCCACAACAAGAAGATTTTGATGCTTCCTTTCTACCATTGCATTTAATTATGGTGTTTCAACATAAGATTTTTTATTTATAATATCCTTAGATTGATAAAAGTCAGTAAGATTAAATTCTGGACCATTATCGGATCTAAGTTGAAGAATATTTCAATCAAACCGACTTTTATTAGACCGTAAAGTGTAGGCATAAGATGAGAAACATTAGCCTTGGTTCTCATTATAAAACCCAAGTATTTCTTGTGAAATCATCTACAATGGTAAGGAAATAACAAAAAACATATATAGTAGGAATTGAATATGGACCTTAAATATCCATATGAATAAGTTCTAAAGGTTTGGCAGCATTTTTAACATGTATTAGAAAGGTAATCTTTTTTCTTTTAGCTCGGGGAAAAATAGTAAAAGGAAAATCTGAATTACAATGTATTTAAGAATGACATTGCTGTAAA